TAAGTTAGATTCCGACCCATATTTCGTTTAACAATATTGCATACAGCTCAATTTTCCCCCTGGTGGTGAGGTTTCGAACTTCCTCTTTTTCTCCGAAAATAAATTCTAATGACCTCCTTTACACGATTACCAAGTTTGATAGCATTTGATCCAGTAGTTTTCCTTTTATGACCGTTTCAATGTGGAACTTTAATTATAACCACTCTGTATATTATTAAATTTTAATTTGAAGCTATGCGTTATATGTATACCATGCGTATGATTTCCGCTTTTATAGAAAAATAAAGATTCGAAGCAAATATGCTTAGGATAATGGACCAAAACTGAAGAAATTTCCCCTCACTCCCAAAATAAAATATTGAAACTTCGACCTTGAATTTATTGTGTTATCGAAATATTTAATTTGACTTATCTTCTATGTCCTAGTTCCGACAACAATTCCATCAAAAATTCCGAATTACTTAAGCTGAAGTAAAAGATTTAGTATATATTCACTGTATGTTAATAAAGTAATCAGAGTGTAATAAAAATAGATTATAGAATTTACGCTGATGCAAATTTTGTCTGACTTCACAACATGTAAAGGAAGAGAAGGCTTGTAGAGAACTGTTTTTGACATGCCTCTAAAAGTAGATGTCACACTCCTTTTGTCTCTTCTATTTCAAAAAACTTTCCTTTCAGAGGCAACTTTAGTTTTTGGGAAAGAAAAATAATCACAAGAAGACAAATTTGAAGACCATACAGGACGATTGAGTACACATACTTACTCGTATTTTCGGAACACAAGCAGTTCTCCGACTGGTTATTGAATAATGAAAAGATGCATTGTCATGCAATACAAAACATTTGGAATACGTTTTCTGACTGAAAACGTATTCCAAAGAAAGTATGAATGATTAAAAGTCATCTGCTTAATTCACAACCATTTACAAATCAACTACTCGGGCAATTGCAGAATCGTTTTGATCCTGAGCTTGTAAGACAAACCTAATATCACTGGATTTAAACACTTCTTTAATCTTCCGAGAACGTTCCTTCTTTAGCTCATATTCCAAGAATATTAAGTGAATACAATTATTGCAAACGAAATTGAATATTCATTTGCACTACGGCTTGGTAGTTTACTAACAAGTTAACAAAACTTAAATTCTTCTTTTTGTGTCTAAGAATACAACAATATTTTAAATATTTACAAATGAAGTATTAAATTGGAGATTTAATTAGAGCCTCACCAGTTGCCTAGCATTTGAAGATTGTTAAATACTAATTGTTTTTGCGAAGTCTAACCCAGGCTGCATGGTTGGTTTTTGTAGTTTTCTGGGTTCTCTTTACAAAGGTTCTCTATGAAAGCATCTTAATCAAAGAGATCCCATGTTCTCTATGTTCAAATAACCAACTAACCTAATTTAAGCGCGATTTCGAAGTGAAGTTACTAGCAAAACCCGATTACTCATTAAAAATCATGTAGCTTGCCAATCGGGAGTAACATGAAAGATACGGCGCCAACAATTGAATTGCTGTTATAGTACGCTGTTTCTAAACTTAGATGGTCATTCCTTAATTAAATAGCCCACTAGCGGCCGAGCGGGTAAAGACGCTGAACACTGGTAGTTCGTTCGGTCTGAGGTTTGAATCCCGCGAACGGGTTGGCCGCATGGGCGTTTTCGTGGTTTTCCCCATGTGTAACGTGTATACGAGCCAGTTTACCTTAGAAAGTCCTCCACGAAGGCATCCCTCCCTTTAGGCAGATAGCCCTCGTGTGCTTTGCCATAATTAAATAAGCCAATCCAATTCTTAATTAAATATAATTGATTTGTAACTTCTACTAGAAATGGCGGTAAGAATTGAAGTGCAAATAAATAATATGGTGTGCAATCTTAATTAATATAAAATTAAAAATATTTGCACAAAAAATATTTGCATTCAGACAGAAAGTTTTTTGAAATATTTGCAATTACTTTATAAGAAGGATTTATTAATAACCGTAATAATTACTTATTATATTACTGATGATTAGGGTTCAGTTCTTGACAATTACATTCTAAATCAGAATTTTAAGGAGATAATGAAAATACGCTACGCACAAAAATACATTTTAGGATAAAAAAAATTAGTTGATTTTTTATGTTTTAAAACTTCTTAAATTCATTTAATAAACATCGCGTCCTCGTTGTTAATTGAATCCAGAATGTTGGGTGTCGTTTATATAATTATTCTTACTTGTCCACAGAATCTGCTGACTTATCCAGCCATTACGTAGCTGCAGATCATTTCTACATAACCACTGAAATTCCATTTATTCAATCTCTAGAGGGTTGTATGTTTATATCATAATTTGACTTTTATAAAAAGGATTATTCTAATTCTTATGTTTCTATAAAAATATACTGTGCTTTAAAAATATGGATGATAGTATCAGCCGCTCTTTTAGCCACTTCAAAAGCAACAGTTTGTTTAGAAATAAATTATGCAATTAATGTCATAAAATTCAAATAAACATCAAACGAAAATTCTCAGTTTTAGACAATTCGATTTAAACGAAGTAAAATAGCAGACGTTAAAATGCCGAAGGTAAAAATTTACTCTTATTTTAAAAAAAAAAGGATAGAAAGAAATTAAAAAAATCAGTTAAAAATTTGAATAATATCATCTATAATTTTAAAACAAATAGCTTTTGATATAGTATTAATAAATATTTATTATGCATCATTGAGGGAAAAAATGTCATATAATTAATTCTCCGTAAAATTTTACTTGAAATTTAAGGTTAAAAATAGCTGTGGCAATTCACTGTAACAAAAATTCATAGACTACATTTGGCGTTATTATCCCTCAAAAAAAAGATGCCAAATTTCAAAACGCGAAAATATGTAAATTCGTGTATATCTTAGAAAATTTTGAATAAAAAAGTCTAATTTTTTGAAGATATGCTTAAAAATACGCCTACTTTAAGATGATTGTAAAAATTTTATAGGTTATAATTCAAAATTTTTTTTGAAAAATTTATAAAAATTATTTAAAAATAGAAATTTAAAAAATAAAACTCAAAAAATGGGTAAATTTTATTTGGAATGAACCTAAATTTCGAAATGTGAGAGAAAAAATCAAAAAAGTTTTAAAAAAAATAGATATTAATAAATATTTGCCAAATTCAATTAACATTGAGGAGCTAAAATTTTGAGAGCTAATATTTTAAAACTACTCGTACGATTTTTACGAAACTTGGTATTCTGGCATAATTTGAGTCGCGGAATCGAAATATGGAAAAAAAATTGGTATGTTATTTCAGAAAAAGTCCGATTTTGTGTCAAAATACCTATGTTAGAATAGTGCTTTATATAAATCTAATATATATACTAAGTCGCGCTTTTGAGACATGAAAAACGCAGTTTGAATTTTTGTCAATCGGCCCAGTAGAACGGGAGATATAGCACTGTCCCATTTTTTTTAGCAGTGTACATATTTATATACATGTTATTATTTATATACATTATATACATATTTATATACATAGATATTTATATACATAGATATTTATGGAGATATTACCTAATTGAAACAATAAATTGGTTCTTAATTGCAGATGTTGGTGGGGATACTCTTTTAGTCCATATTTTTGGATACTGGAGGGACCAAGGATGTGTATTATAGCGGTAAGTTTCCTTAAATACAGAAGAGTATTTCGTTTTGGTTTCTTTGAAGAAGCTTTTCACATTTCAAAAGTGTTATGTGAAAAAGCATGCAATTTCCTTCCCCAATTGAATTTTTGCCTGATCTTTATTCAAAATACTGTTAGATAAAGTGCTGGACTCGTAGGGTAAGTGTGAATTTTATCTTCGCAATAAAGAAATATGTAAATAAAATCTACTGTTTTAATCAAAAAAATTAAATAGTTACAAACAATCGGTTGAGAGTTTATTTTTATACATTAAAATAAAATTTCTTTGGTGATTTTTTAGATAAATGCATTCACACCAAAACTTCAGAGATTTTTCTTCTGCTGTACTGGTATAAATAAATAATAATTGTTTCCCTGTAAGATTATGTACAGTGTACCTTTAAATTACAGTTGAATTTGAAAAATCTTAAGAACTTAAGCTAATAATCGCTTGAGTTCCTGGGATAGAAACCAAATCTACTAATCATACTAATCACATTACTGGATATCCATTATATCCATAATACTTACGCAGCATTTGTTTTTGCAGCCTCTGGTGGCGAATTCCAGTTACAAACTGCTTTAAGAAGAAAATATTAATGTCACGAGAATTTTTTTAATTAAAAAAATAATTTTTTAAAAATTAAAAATCTGAATTTTTTATGGCTTTTTGTATTTCTGTAATTATATTTAGTAAACATTTACACTGATTCTAAGAAATAAAACACATAATATTTGATTTTCATGCAAAAAAAACTGAGAGATATTATTTACCATAAATTCCGGCGTATAACGGAAACCTATAATTTCAGACTTCATTTTTTTTTTTATAATTTTTATGTACATTCGTCGCATAGCGAATACTATTTCCTTTATGAAGGAACCTGAATAATACATGTCCGATACTCTTATGTTTTGAAGTCGAACGTTTTTCTCAGGCTTTTGAGTAACTGTATAGTGAATTGAAAGCGAGAGGAACAATATGTGTGGGTGAGGGAAGGGGAAATGCTTGAGGGAGAAAATTCTGCGAAGAGGGTGGGCTGCATTTAATGCAGGTGTACTAGAATGTTATTCTAGGGTTTCGAGGAAAGAGGGACATAATTTGAGGTAAGATGCAATTCCTACCTAAATGAATTCGCGGAGTCAACTGTTTTCTCTTTATGTAGTCATTTGGAGCCTTGAATTTGAAGTGAACGTGGAGGACTTTAGTTAATCGCATTTGCTTTAGTCGAAATAAGTAGTAAATATGGTTCCTGTCAAACGAAATAAACACAGTACCGGTTTTAAATGAAGTCATTCAGTTTCCAAAAGAAAATAGAAATCGTTCTGGACAAAGATGTGTGGTGTTGAAGAAAGCTCCATACGTGACTAAGGAAAATGAAATCACTATAACTAATATGTCAAAGAATAAATGTGATTTGCGTAAAGGCCTATCCTAGAAGAAAGTGCTGTAAACTGGATCTTAGAAAATCCCCAGAATGGATTAACTGCAACAAGAAATAGCGTACGTTTATTTGCCTTAAGAGGGGAAAAACTGCAAATGAAAGTGAAAACATTAAAGCAACTTCGAGTTGGGATAGTTGATTTCTGGTACGGAATAATTTAGTTCTACGAGAGACAACAAAAGTTTCGCAAAGGCTTTCGAGAGATCTGAACTACAAACTCATAAGTTTCCAGAAGTATATCACTGACCCACAAAGCCAAATAAATTATTTATTGTCACATTTCGAAAATATGGCCGATACTACAAAATATCTGATATGATAGAAAATAAAACAATCGATGTGAAAGGTACAAGAACCGTTTACATAAAAACAACATGTCACGAAGATCTCGTTTCACCATACTGCTTTCCTGCTTGGTAGAAGGCACAAAATTAAATCCCATGGTTATTTTTAGAAGAAAGATGATGCCGAAATTTAATTTCCCAAATGGTGTTTTCATTCATGTTCAAAAGAAAGGATGAATGGACGAAAATGGTATGGAATTGTTTAGCAAAAGCGTACTGTTGCCTTAAAGAATCTACAAAAGTTGGACCATGTTCAGATCCCATCCAACGGACAGTAAGAAGAATTTATTGAAAAAATGTATTACAGACAATGGCAGTTTTTCCAAGCGGATGAACACTATTAGTTCAATCCTTAAATGTGCGTATCAATAAACAATTCAAAGAAAATTCAAAACGACAGTAGAATACGTTTATGTTAAATGGTAAAAGAACATTTACAAAAGGAGGCCAAATGCGTCATGCTAGTCTCGAAATAGAGTGGATAATAAAAGCATGGAATGAAGTTAAACCAGATATATAATTGAATATTAAAAAAATGTAATCTATCTAACAATCTAGATGAAACGGAAGATGATTGTTCAGGGTCAGAGCAGCCGTGATCGTAAAGATGGAATAGATTTCGATGATGTGCCTGAAGATAAAACGGAAGAAAAAGATTACGAACTTTTCATGTTATAGAATAATGTAAATTTTTAAATTCATAAGGTATGTCATTTCTTTTAAATAATCAGCATTAGGTGCCTGTAGAAATCAGCTATTATATGCTCGCCTTTCCTTATTTTTAAATCTATCATTATCCGGCGTATAACGTGCACCCATAAATTTTTATCTTATTCTTTTTATTAAATGTCGCCTTATACCCTGGATCATATGGTAACTTTAAAGTTTGAGATCATGTTCAGGAGTAACACACAAATTAAAAAAATATTTGAGTTCGTAATTAAAAATTAATAACAAGTTGACATTAATAGATTACGTGGCGAACATTGCTATGCAGACTGACCTGAAAAGTATTGGTTTATATATATATATTATATATGTATATATATACGAGTAATGGATAAATACAAAGCAGTTTAAAACGTTATCGCATTGCTCATTGAATCAGCAACAAGTGGTGGTAATAATACAAAATATTTTAAAATAAAAGATGTGTTTAAGATACATCCCATATTCATTTTGGAACAAGCCATATGCAAAAAGTAAGGCAAACTGCTTAATAGACGCTTGAAAATGAAAATTATATATTCGACATGTTCAGTAGCAAACTATCATTTTTATAACGCAAGTAATTCGAAACTTATTCTGTTATGAATTATTAATTTTAAATTTACGTCAGAAGTTGTTTTCTAATTACATTTACTATTATTAATCACTATAAATTTGTAATTAATTTTGTTTCATTATATTTAACACATATTAGCTTAAAATGGTCATCTGCTACTGAACGTCAAATAGATATTTTTCATATCAAATTTTTTGATGCTCTTATGTTGCAGATTTTAAGAACTAACACTTATTTTTTTATTGTATGTTTCTGAATCAAATTTTCATTCGTTATTCTTTGGTATGTTGGTTGCTTCTATTTATATGTTTTGCTTTTTGGACTAGGTCTGCTGAAGTAGAAAATATTTTTTTATTAAATATTTAAGCTTTTATCGGTTGTTTATGATTTTAATGCTATAATTTTGCAAAAACCCTTTACTTCGGCCTGTGTGGTTTCACATTTTCATATAGTGTTATAATTTCCGGTGTTGGATTGCTTGTATTTTTTGGAGTCGGTTTGCTCGAAGTATTTTTTTAATTTTTGCTCGTGACTTTGATGTTGTGATTTTGCAATTTTTTCATTATTTACTACAGCCTGTAGGGGTTGGACTGTGGACTGATAAAAAATTACTTTGATTCTTTTTCTGAGATGATTTTAAGTATTAAATTTTAATTTATGTCTTTGTTGGTTTTTTCTTTGTTTTGTTGGCATAGTACTCTTTTAATACCAAATGCTACTTGGATAATTTTATTTCCTGAAAAAGTAACTAAAAGGATTAAAAGAAAATATAATCTTCCAGTAATTTTCATATCGCACTTTCAGTTGTACCTTTCTTCCAATTTCAATATTTTGTAGCTTAAATATTGCCTAGGAGGCTATTAAAACATTCCCATGATATACATATTCTGAAGCTAACTTAAAGTTCATTATTTCAAATTTTTAAATTTGATTCACTGCAAACAATCTCTTTAAATGAGGAAATAAATCACCTGTTGAGTTATCTCGATTTATTAATCATTCGTATTATAGCTGTCAACAATTTTTAAATCGGAAGGATTACAAAATGTGAATAAGGAACTGCTGACATAAATCATATTTCATGCTTCCTTTTAAGATGATAATATTGAATTATTGTAATAAAACTGGATATGTTAACATAATTGAAAAGTAAAATGTATTAAATATAAACTGCAATTGTTGTGAATGAAAGTTACGATTATTTAATGAATAACTAAATGTAAAAAATGATGCAAGGATCACTATTTCAGAAACAAATATCTATTTGTACCTTTGAATAAATGTTCCTTTTGCCGTCACGTACAGCTAAAGTAGAAGGCTACCATTTTTTTAAGAAAGAATGTAATATTTTTATATTTTTTAATTATTATTATGGAATAATTTAGTACAGTTCTGAAAGGGTCATTACCTTACACAAGGAAAGGAGGCCTTTTTAGGTAATTGTCGAGCAACCTTTAATCACTGGTGTAGTAATACATCAGTCAATTAAAAAGGACCTGTTGAATTTTAGACGGAAATATTTGTTTATGAGAATTTTAAAGCCTTCACTCTGTATTAAATTAGATACGAAAGTGAATAATATACAAGAAAGAAACCATAATTTACCATAATTTCAGTAGCAAGTTACAATATTTATAATGTTAAAATGTAAATTATAAATGTTTCTAATTTACCTGATTTGTTATAATATATCAAAATATGTATATGTTTTTTTTATTTAAATATTTGTAATATTCTATGGGAAGCTAAGACTTTCTCTGAAAATACATAACAATTTGGACTTAACAAGGCAAAAACAAGAATATTTTCAAATTACACTCAGTTGTTTGAATAGAAATTCTATTGAAAATAGAATAGGATAGATTCTAATATCTATAGTATTAAAAAAATGCGTTTCATTGCGAGCATTATATTTTTGAAACATATAATGTTCAAAATTTATGTTCTATACTATTTTAAAAGTAATTATTTACCTCATATTTTAATTATTTATATTTTCTATGTAATATTTCTCTCCATCTTTTTATTACTGCAACACTTTCTCCAAAAAAGCTTTTCTATTGGTAAAGCTCTTTGCTTTTTGTAGGGGTAGCAAAGTAAAAAATATGAAAAACAAAATTCTAACTTTAGTTTGCAGTAATTCCTTAACTCTGCATTTAATGTGTATGCTTCTCTTTTCTGTCCTAAGCAACTGTTTATCATAAATCTCTCTAACCAGCGTCATTAAAATATGAATCCATGTCATTAGATTCTTGCATTACGCTAATGACGCAGAAAAGTTTGCATTTTGAAACTCAAACAGCCATTCATAACGAATTGAAAATCAGTCTTTACCTAAATTAGACACATGGCTTCTCTACTGCCCTGCTGCTTCAAACGTATTCTGTATCACTTTATCAGTAATGGTTAAAAAATTGTTTGCCAACGAGAATAAGGAAATATTAAATTCGGTCATAACTGCTACTACGTTTTTGCATTTCTATATGCTATATTCACCTGTGTGTCAGTCAGATAAATAATGTATCAATCAAATTACTAAGTTTAATTTGTAATAGCTCTTTTAATTTGGTTATTTTCCCTTTCTTTTTCCTAAAAACTCATAATAGATCTAAACTACGTCATTTCAAAATGAATCCATGTCATATGATTGTTGCTTAACACTAACGACGCAGATACTTACATAACCTTTCAGCCAATAATAATTTTAGAAAGTTGTTAGTTAAGCAATCAGCATTAAACTAAACAATCTCTCCTAGATGCTCCATAGTCTGTATTCTAATATATTTAAATGTTTGTTTAATATATTATTCTAATATATTAAACAGTATATTTAAATACTGTTGAAGTTCTCCAATAACAGACCCGCTAATTGCGCCATCTTAAATTTGGCTCCATGTATCAAGAATAAAAGGATATAAACTCAGACATCATGGCAAAGCTTCTTTTTTATGCACCTCTATGCTAATGACTTCAAATTATTTCATATATGCGCTTAAATTTATTCATTCTTATTATCTATTTTTGCTTAGGTATGCACTTTTCATATGCGTACATTTTTATTTACATATATTGTTTCTAAAATGTCTGGATGATATTTAAAACGTAATCATATTAAATTAATATGAGTTTTGGAATTTTGCACAAAACTAGGATCTTGAAAGGTAATTTTTAAATTTACGATTTAAAAATTTAATAATAATTTTTTTAACTCTTTTTATTTGAAATGCCATGCCAAAAGACAAGATATTTTTGTTTTCTTTCTTTTTAACTTGTAAGTCTCCTTACTTTGTGTCATGATTTTATAACTGCATTTATAGATGCTTTATTTTCCAGATAAATTTTGTAATACTACTTAATATAGTCTGTGTAGTTTTAATGAAAGTTCAAGTGAACACACCAAGTGAATTTCAACAAATCAGGTGAGAATCCTCATATTAAATCTGAAAGTCTTATAAAATTGCATTGAATTTTAACACCTTTTAAATCTGTACTGTAAGATAGCCATATGCGATAATTTACTGAACTAAAATTATCTTGTTTTATTTGTTTTAAACTATAAGGGATGCCATATATCATATGTGGTTATACTTTTCGAAATGGGCAAATTTTGAATAATTAAACTACCTTAACAAATAAATCTTCAGACATAATTATTGCATGCGCTTATGAAACTGAAAAAGGTTAATTTTTCATAAGAAGGATTGCTCTCAAACCCAAAATAACCTTATATTTAGATTATATTGGGAACGAAGGAGAAACAAATTAAAATTGAACTTTTTAATAATGAGAAATTGTGCAAGGATCCTTATTAAACATTTAATGGCAAACTGAAACTGTCTCAAGAAAGCAAAATATGCTCGTAAATTCTAGGAAGGTATAAAAACACTGCAACTTGCATTATTAATTTTTTCATGTGGTTATATCTGGTGAATGGATATTAATAAAATGCTGAGCAACAATTATTTTGAGAACGTGCAATCTTTTTATTTTAAGTGTTGGGGAGTGATAGTGCCTTCACCATTTAATAACATAGATTACTTTGATGTGTCTTAAAACGAATTAAAATTTTAAGTGTTTACTCTTTTCTTTCGTAAAGTTATTAGATTATAGAAAGGGAATAATTCAGATATTAACATTTAAAATTAATTCACAGTATGTTTTAACTGATTATTCACCATATTTGATTAAACTGGAGTTGCGTTAGTTATAGAAATTAATAAATACAATTTTTATAATAATAATAATAACAAAGTACAGCAATATATAACTAATCGTTTAGATTTCATCATGAAATAAAAATCATAACTTCGAAAAAGTTGCTTTCACATTTTTTATATAAGCTTATTCTCTCCAAGTCATTAGATAGTAAAAATAAATTATAAACAAGATTTATATGAATTTATAAACAAGAATTTTTGTCCAAATAACAACTGGAAAATTACTTCTGCCTGTAGCAGTAAGTATAATTTGTAAGAAATCCTTGAATAGGCGTGTAAGTGACTTACTGCTATGTCTAAGATGAAACGGAATCTAGGAAGGGTGTAAAAGACTCTTTTATTCAGAACTCAAAATGAGTTACTGAAAAGTACTTCTTGATCTTACAAACCAGCCAACATTTATGGCGTAACTCAAAATGGTAGAAATTAAAATTAAAATTAAGTCGTATATAATCCAAAGGCTACGCAGAAAAGGGTGACGCACAAGTTTTGGCTCAAACCGACGCAGTATTGGCAAGAATAACGCAACACCGAAGACAGACTGCTTCGAAAAACTGCAACTAGTAATGTATCCTTCAGCAAGGCGGAATACGCTCTAACTAAACAGTTTAAAATTTTCCTTTCAATATTATCACATTCTACCTCACTTGAATACGCGTGAATTAAATTAGCATTTTGGCAGGAAAACGGAAAAAGAGAATTATAATAAAGACATTTAACATATTAGATAAAAATAAATAAATGCTTCCAACTTAAACAAAATTAAATTTAGATTAAATCTTAATCGAATGTTTATTAAAGGAAGATTTATCTAAGCTTGAACGGTGATGCACAAGTATAAGAAATGCATTCAAGCAATTAAAACAAAGTAAGCAAGTTCTGAGTCATGAAACCTGAAGTCCTATGTTTATAATAATACACATTCATAAGTTATTACTCGTATATGCATTTCAACACTTTCCAATGAAGTAATGTTCTGAGTAATTCAACAAGAATAACCACACTAATCAACATCTTCTGTGAATGTTCAACATTTCCTACAGTGGGCAAGAAAGTTAAATAGGCACGCATAAATCTCAGATCAGAAAGTTATCTTAGGATTCACATATTGTTTGATAATGATAATAGCATTTTTGACAGTAGAACGGAATCATTTGCTCCCATTTGTCACACCTGTCGTGTAATGCCTTCCCTCTCAACCACTAGAAGATTAAACCCAAACACCCTTGCTTAACGGGATGAAATGCTCATAAGATTACCGTGTACGTCTGTGTTTACTATTCTGTATTAAATATCCAGCTCAGAAGGCAGTTTATTTAGGTGAGCGTTAAATCTCCTTATAGAGATATCTTCAATAATTGTAAAGTTGTTCCTTGCGTAGCAAGAGGATTTCAGTTAGTAATAGGCTTACATTTAAGCGTGTAAGTTCTCTAACGCAATGATTATTGTTTTATATCTCCTACTATCCTAGCCATCTCTGATTTTCCAGCTAATGCATTATTTCCACGAGTAGAAACAATTATGTTAATGGTAACAACTGGGTCAGCCGTTCAAAAGAATCGAATTTCTACAGGTAACATAATGGCCCTCCTGCCTCTATAGGAGCGTTAACCTCTCACTTCATATCAGAAGTGCCTTTTGTTTCTTTTCAGAAATGCGCTTCATAAGCGTTAACAGCAAACTGTTTTCCATCTCTTTTCAGAAATTTGATTGCGAAATATGTCAACTTTTTCCCAGGATAATCTCTAAATTTCATGATTGATTTCTAGATTCTGAAAATTTTAGCTTTTGACAGCGGCTAACTTTAATCATCAACAGAAATCATCAAGACTACTTCACATTTATAAGTGATCGTGATCACCTTAATAGCAGATAGACAATCATTTCCGAATGTGAGCAGTACTTTTGATAAAATTAAATACTAATACCCAACACCGTCTATACTCACATTTTCAGATAAGATAAAAGAATTCTGGAACCTCGCGTGGTCGTTTCAATAATTATGAATTAATATTCATTACTTTTATCATTTTATAATTCTTCGAATTTATTTTTTCCGTGTAAGTAATTAAGTAGTAATATTAGTAATTAAAATTGCTTCCCATTTTTCTTGCAGGAAAGCTGTGAGGGCTGCACTTTTGTTATTACCACTCTTAGGCATCACAAACATAATGGATATTGTACCTGGGCCTGTAGAGCGGACGCCTCTGGAATTTGCCATTTGGTCCTACACGGCGCATATTCTGTGGGCCTCTCAAGGATTCTTTATTTCACTTCTATATTGCTTTTTAAATAAAGAGGTAAATACATTTAAAATATTCCTCAAATCATTCAATAAAAAATAAATTTATATCTGTTATTAGCTTTTCACGTTTTATTTTAATATATAAAATTTCGAAGCACAATTTTTTCAATCCAGCGAATCTGCTAGTCTACGATTTACAGAACGATGTTATAATTTCCCAGATTTTTGCATTGTCTGTGACTTTAACTGTGTGTCGGTGTGTAGACATAGAAACTGTAATAGCATTAAAATTGTTCGATATGAATATAGAAATAAAACTGAAAAACGCTGAAAACAAACTATAAAGTTTAGCAGCACAATTTCACGAATATGTGCAAACTTTGGACAGATTTTCGAATAGTACAAACTGAAATTTGCAAGTCAAAAGTAATGCCTATACTAAAAAGATAGCAGATGGGAAAATTGTAGATAGTGTCGGAATAATATCTTACTTAACAGATCCTAACAAAAAGACAAGAAATTGTCTAAAATTAAAACAATCAAAAATAACAACATGAAGGTTGAATAGGAAATAAAACACGAAACCAAAAAATAACTATAAGCTGTAATCTATGAGACCTTCAATTAAAGCTGCAATAAATCATATAGACATATCTGTTTTATAATGCATACTCAAAGAAAATAACTATATTAATAATGTTGAGTGTTTGAAACTATTTTCTTATGAAGGAATGTTTCCATGTAGGATTCTCTAGGAGAAATTTAATAGCATTTATGCAATCAAGTTGCACAAGGAAATTTATGACTATTAATTTAAAGTACTAATTCTGTTGGAATTTATATCACAAGTTTCTAAGCTTTTTTACGTAATTTTTCATCATCCCCTTATCTCCTTCCATCAAGAACGTTGCATTCAACTGCTGTATTCAAATAAAATACACATTGGGAAGTACATCGTTTGTAACAACGTAAAATCCCATATAAATTACACGCAGTTTATTATATTTAATAACTATTTATGAATGGGGTATATCATCTAAGCATAAATGAGGTATTTCGTCTAAGCTACTAAACATTTATCATAGAACAATTACAGAAAGAGTGATCACTTACGGAGCGGCAATCTCTGGCGTGGTGAACTTACCTCTCACATGGGAATATCCCTGCTCTCTAATCAGAGTCAGCAGCTACTTCAAATATGCGGTACCTTCAAATATGCGGTCATCACTAGCCCTACAACAACTGGCAGGAATTCCTTTCCTAGATTTGGTAGTTGAAAGGGAGGCAGCTGTCAGAAAGGTTACCAGGCTGGGTCAAACTTCAACACTCTGGGGTCTTCATTATCACCACTTGGATTACCAGGAGTAAAACATCTGCAATAACTTTCATCCAGCTCCCTTTTAGTCTCTCCGACGGTATTAGCAAAAATGACCAACCAATTTAAAGCAACAATAATAACCATTTTACAGATGGCTTCCAAAAGGGAGAACGGCACGGGTAGCTCATTCTGTAGACTGGAAAATGGTATTGTAACATTTGAGTAGAAGAGGAAACTAGGTTTGAACAACTCGGTATGCCAAGCAGATCTTCTAGCTATCAGTGCTGCAATAATTTATGCGAACACATGTCAACAGCAGAAATTCTTCTTATTCAGCGATTCGGCATTAATTCAGGCGGCTATCGCAGGTCATAATAGCCGGAGTCCCTTGGTATACCTAATTCATAAACAGCTTCTGGCAATGCCTATCTCACAAAGACCCACTTCCACTTTAAAATTGGTTTCCCTCTCATACAGGATTCAAGACAATGAAGCTGCTGACCTACTAACCAAGCAGGCAGCCAATTGCACGAATTTACTTGAACTACCAACAAAACTTCCTTGGTCTCACATTAAACAAACAACTTTGATAAGTTTGCTACAAAATTGACAAGAAGCAAATAGCAAATGGCAAAGAGGCAGCGGTAGGACGGAGGACATATCGCTTTCTGCTAAACGTTAACATGGAAATAAAGAGCCACCATGCCAGCCTAACAAAATTTTTGACAGGAATGGACCATTCCCAGTATACCTCAACAGATTTAGACTTGGGTAAACTCCTTTCTGCGAATGCGGAGAGGAAAGCGACACGAACCATTATTACTTTCATTGTGTGCATACAATAACCTGGCACTTAAAGAAGCCAGCGGACTGTGCCTGGGTAATGCGGACGTCTATCACACTCAAAAACAAGCAGAAATAACCGTGAATAATATTATGTTTGAAATGTTCTGAATTTAAAGCTGATAATCAAAATAATGCTTGGTGCCTGCAGTTATCAAGCTGTAGAAACTATTATTTGTATGTAATATTCAACTTACGTTGGACTATGGACTTTACTTTGTTACTTTGGAGTTTTCCCCGATGTGATGGTATATAATTCCATTTGGTTCATGTCCGTGGTCGGAAGCCATCATAGCGGTGCACTCACTCACTCACTTATCCTGGTGCTCTTCGAACCACGCACGTGCACTGCGAGTTGTATGACACTTCGCATTGTCCTGTTGGTAGATTCCATCATTCTGAGAAAAAACAATTCGCATGTAGGGGTGAACATGGTTTGCAAAAGAGAGATGTGTATTTATGTTGATGCATCGTCCCTTCCACAATGATAAGTCACCCAGGGAATGCCACGAAAACATTCCCCAGACCATAATGCTCCTTTCTTCAGCTTGGACACTTCCGGCAGTTGTTGTAGGGTGTTTGATTTCCGACGTTTCACGTCGTATACACCAACTTCCCTCTTTTCGATGGAGCATAAAACGTGATTTATTGGAAAAAGCCACATGTCACCACTCAGTGGACGTCGCGGGACTGGCGTGGAAATTCCAGCCTTCGTCGTCGATGAACTTCAGTCAGCCCAGGCGTCTGCTGCGGAGGCCCATATGCGGCAACATTCTCTGAACCGTCGTTAACGAGACACCGTTGGTAGCCCAGTGGTTCATCTGGGCTCAACTGTTGCACGTCTATTCGCCCGAACGCATCTCCGTAGCCCTCGTTCACCTCTGTCATCTATGGCCCGTGGTGCACCACATTTTCCACGTCTCTGATTTTGGATAGTGCCATTTTGCCATGCACTGAATACTTTTACCACGACGGCACGTGAACAGGATTCAGAATTAACAGTTTCGAAAATGCTTCCACTCTTGGCTCAAAAGCCACTGATCATGCATGTTTGGACGTCAGATAAATCGCTCCGTTTCTGCATTACGCCAAAGATTGCAAGGTTTTCTGATTCTCTCGGACTCCAAGTTCCACTGCAACTTGTTGCCATCTGCTTTCTGTGATTGGTTATTTCCCGTTGACACCGAAAATAGACGGTGATCACATGAATGTGACTGGACCGTGTATATATATAAAAAAAAAGGTTTCTGATGATGCATTTACAGTGGTGGCCAAAATTATGGACACTTTTGGAAATTCTTATGTTTTTGAACTTCGTATGCTTATAGGAAACGTTACCTTTCAGAAAATGCAAACTTGTATATATCATCTTAAAGAGAATTTATACTGAACAATACTAAACACAAAATCAATTATTGCAATACAAAAAAAGTTAAACAATAATAGTTATCGATATACATTAGATAGTGATGATTGCAGTGTTATCAGTACTTAGTAAGGTACCCTTATTTTTGATTAAAGCTTCACAACGACGTTTCATGAGTGACAAGAGTTTTAAGCTCTCTTTCGTTATTAATGATGCCAGGAAACAATTTATAGCCTCAATTAGTTCCCTTTTATTTATGGGCGTCTCATTCGGACAGAGTTTTCAACGGTTCCACACATTTTCGATAGGATTGAGGTCAGAAACTGTTCCTGCCATGACATCAATTTAATGCCCTTTCCGAAACACTCTTTCGAATTTTGGGCCGAGTGGCAAGGAGCAGAAACCTGCTGAAAAAAAACGAAGCTTTTGGGAAGAGATCTCTGATGGAAGGTAGAAGTTTTTGGTTTCTAGAATAGTGTCAATGTATTTTCTGGCATCAGTGTCCCATCGATGACATGAGGCGACGAATACCATTTGCTGACATGCATGACCAAATCATAACAAAATGCGTTCTTCGCAGCTGCTTGAATGCAGTCAGATGTAGTTCTTCTCCTATTCTACGTCTTACATTTTTCGCCCATCACTACCGAATAACGATATCTTAGTTTCATCCTCCATATAACTTGTGACCACTGATCATCTGACCAATGAATGTGTTCTTTTGCCCTGTGTTTTTTTTTTTTTTTTTTTTTTGTTTTTTTTTTTTTCGTTTGCTGAAAATTAAGATAAGGCTTTTTTCGTGGAATTTACCTCTCAATCGAACATCTGTTAATCTTTGATTGTCTTGAACTGGCGAAACACCAGCATCATTCAATCACTTCTGATGGCGCTGATTTTTTCTATCTGGGAGCAGTCTTTTTTTCTTCTGTCATAATAGATGTGGGCACTTTCCGGCCTTTCCTCTTTGTTTTTTATTGAATTTGTCTCCTGATATCGTAAAAAACTTTCGGACTCCAGATGTAGTCACTGAACCACCCCCTGTCTTGCATTTCAGCATAGGAAAGCCCTTTCGTAACACAATATTACATCTCTTTTCTAGGTGTCCAATCTACTCTTTTATTGATGTCATTGCTTCTTGACTAATATTAAATTTTTTACAAAAATTCCCTTGTAATTGCAGTGTATAAGAAACAGGTCCCTTCTACAGAAAAAGCAAAATAATAATTGTTTAAGTGTACATGATGTCAGCTTCTAGTTACTAACATTGATTGGTTCTCAGAACAGAACAGTGATTGGCCAGGAAAGCTATACATTACAAAATGCTTCATAACTGTGTTTTTTTATTTATATTAAAGTATATAACTTTTTGTATTGCAAATAATTGAATTTTGTGTTTTGTATTGAATTCAGTAAAAATTCTCTTTAAAATGATATATACAAGTTTGCATTTTGCGAAACGTAACATTTTCTATAAGCATACAAAGTTCAAAAACATAAAAATTTCCAAAAGTGTCCACAATTTTGGCCACCACTGTACATGAGTCTTTTATTTTAATAATTTGAGGCATGTGATTTCATCTATACAGTAATTAGTTTTTGCACTGAGCATTTTCCTGCAGACTGAATCTACCGATGTAAAGAAAATATCCTCGAAACTGAAAATTAACCGTATAGATGAATTCTATGTTTCTTTGGTTCCAGTTCAAAATCTTTAATTTAGCTAAGAATTTTTTAAATCAGGATCAAACTAAATGATGTTTAAATGTAAGTTTGATTCTATAGTACCTAAATAAAGCTTTTGCTAGCATAGTTTCTTTTGTGAACGATACAACGTTCATCTTGTGCTTGTTATATGAATGAACACTATGCATTGCGAAAACTCTTACACAGATCCCTCTTCTTCAAACAGTAAATTATTTTACTCCATTTCGTCCAAATTTCGTAATTTTAACTAACTATAGTAAGATGAATTCATATCAAGAAGAAAAAAAAACCTGTGGTGGTATGTATTGGAAAAATAAAACGAAAATAGTAAAAAACGTTTTCTATGCCTTTTTAGTACGAACTTCTTAATTAAATTTTTGTATCTATTGAAATGCTTAAAATGAAAATAGTAATTTAACTTCTTAGTCTGTTTAAGCATATAGAGCTTTTTTATCATGTCCCATACTACAACAGAGAGGACTTAAACTGAAATTTAATAAACTCACGTACGTTTGATACTGCATAACTTTATTTACATGAAATACAGTCTGTGAGTAATTACCATAGAGAGGATTTTAAAATACTGCCACTTTCAAATGAGTGTCTAACTTTAAATTCATTGTGACGCTTTACGGCATAAGCTTAATCATGAATAACTTAAACTGAAAGTTAATAAACCCACGTACGTTTGATACTGCAAAACTTTATTTGCATGAAATACAGTCTGTGAGTAATCACCATAGAGAGGATTTTAAAATACTGCCACTTTCAAATGAGTGTCTAACTTGAAATTCATTGTGACGCTTTACGGCATAAGCTTAACCATGAATAATTCTTTAACCTGGCTTGATTCTTGATGATTCCCTTTTCCTGTAGGTTTAGAAATACTTTAATTTTTAAATGCTCTTCGTATCATTGACATCATTTTCTAGATATAATGGAGAATGTTTCTGACAACTGACCGCGGGTTCCAAAATATTTTGTTCTTTTGTGGGGAAGATCACCTTAGACAACCTAATTATCCATAATGTTCAATGTCAGCATTTATTTCCTTTTATGCTAAAAAATATTAGTAATATTCAGGCTAACATTTCTGAGAGGTGGCTCTCTTTAGAGATTTTATTATAAACTTTCACGCTCAATTTCCCTTATTTTTTTTATTAATTGATATAACACATTAATATGTTTAATTTGTGTTAAGAAGAACGGTATTTTCTTTTACTGCTTCTTTACGCAATTTAAGTTAAAACTATTATTTTTGAATGTTTTTAATTATTTCCATCCACTCAATAATATTACTTTTTATACTTGTGATGTTTGTATAACGTGAACATTTCTTAATCTTGGTTCTTAAGCAACACAGATTTTCTTTAGAATATTTTTAAAGCAGTTTACTAATATTGCTGTAGCATGTGTAAGTGTAATTTATGACAAAGTTAAATAAAATTAAATTTCATTTCTACATTTAACACATATTGTAATACTTCTCAACTGAAACTTCCAAACCTTACGCGACATCAGTGGGGAGAAAATGTTCTTATAGTAATGAAAAAATTCATAAGTAAGCTGCAGGTAATCAAACGATCTATATTCCTGTTAGTAATAAATAACTGCGAAAACATTATCCTCTTTCTTTATAAAAAGAATAGCTTTTACTTAACTCAAGCAGTCCTAAAGTTGGCTGTCCGGTCCTCAATTCAATTTATTTTATAGAATACCAGTGAAACGAATCTTCAAATATATGAGTTTATTGTTATTATAATTATATCTGAAGCTTCGAAACTCACTTTGCCTGCAGCAAATAATTCTGCAAAGCATGATTTGGCTTTATAGTTTTTAATCGGACTACTATTACAAAAACTCTTTGGAGTGCTTTTTTTTATGACAAGCTACAATTAATTACTCCCTGTTCGAAATCATTATAATAACTTTATTATGAAGTTATTTCTTTATATGTATTTCAAAAACTAATTTGTAGTTTTTTGAACCTGTAACCTTGCCTCAGTCTCTCTCTAATTAAATCGAAGTAAACAGAATCAGCGTCATAACTTCATTATTTCTTAAACAGTGTATTCTAATTTAATTTTCTTAAAATATATCTCTTGATACTTTTAGGTGCAAGAAGCTGTTAGAAAACAATGGCGGTATTACAAGCTATCAGGAAAACCAATAGTTATATGTTGGTCTAGACCAGGTAAGCTATACTTAAAATAACAAGCATCGAAGCTTCAAAAAAGTAGATGCAGGCTTTTCTTAACATTTCTTATTTGAAGAGCAAATAAAAAATATCAAATATTTTAATATCTAAATCCTTTCTAATTTTACAGATAATGTAATTAAATGGACATATGCAATATAAAATATGTAAAGCAAAGTACTAACTTTAATTTACAATAGACCATTCATTATTTATTTAAATTTGGGTATTTCCTTTTTCCATCTTTTGTTACTGAATGACGGATATAAGTCGGAATTGAAACTCAAAATTGTAAATTAAAACTCCAGTCTTTTTTAAACAGGCCTGCATCTTGGATTGCATCGCATTTCGCTTTTTGTTTCGCTTCTGCCAACTTGCTGTTGCTCGGTGTCTTCAGAAACGTATAATGTTCAAGCATGTCCACGTATTGTGTCCAATTTATTTTTTGCTGGCTAAAGAAAACTCACAATTAATAATTAAATTCCACCACGTTTATCTTCATCAAGCATATTCCAAATTATTGCATGTACATGCAGAGAAAGAGTACATGCGAATAGAGTAAATTGTATTGCGCAACGAAGGGCAACGTTGAAAGTACAGGAAGCAAGAAATCCTTTCAAATTTGGTAGGTAATTTAGTGTGCTTATGGTCCCGCGATATACGAAAAAAAGACTATCATTATCATTATAAGGGCACAGCTCCCGATCCTCCTAGCCGGCACAAGCCGGCCGTATGATCATAAAATGGACTGGCCGCGAAAAAAGACTGTAATAAATTTAAGTATAGTTAAAATAAGCGTATTATGAAAATGTCCAATAAAAATGCTAAAATTTCAAGATTCCACGAAACGTTCACGAAGCAAAGTTATATAACTATACCTGTGTGAAAAGAACAAAAACAGCACAGATACTGGTCTTCAGCGACCGTACCATTACCTCCCGTAGAGCAAACACACAGTTTCTTGGAGACGCGACAGTACAGCGATCATCATCGTCTTTGGTTATCAGATTATCTTCTTCAAATCTTTCTTCTTAATATTATGAAATACACTAACGGAATTCAAGCGAGACGTTTGCAGAAGTATGATAAACTTCTGAAATTGTAATACACGAATGATTGAACGCAATATAGTAAAAGATTTCTGTTAGTCTAATTTGATCCACAATTTACTTAAAAATGCATAAAGTGTTCTAGATACTATTGAAAGCAGCCTTCTGCTTTCCCAGTGCATGGGAGGCTATTGTGTCGCCAATGAGATATGTGGAATCGTTACAGAGCTTCAAGGTAGCAAAAGAAATGTATGACATTTGCAGATGACCTTGATTTATCCAAGACACCTGTTCGAAAGCAAGTTTAGTGTTGTTCTGCGATCAACACTAAACTTGCTTTCGAAATGATTTCATGAGGTTCAAATGCTGGGAGATAGGAGTTTGGCGGCACGATAGAAAACGATCATACAGATCATTTTCAAAAAGTTACAAAATTCTCGAACTGAGAGATAAAGGAAGGAATAAAGATTTTCCATAATGATTTCTTTGAACCGCCATTGCAATTTTTTCTACGCAACTACCTAAGCTCGAAACGTTTTATTTTTGAACCGACACCAAAGCTTGTTCTCGAATGACTAGTATTGACTCCACTGTACGAAAAAGTGATGGTATGAGTCATAGTGATGACAGATTCCTGGTCCTAGATTCTTCAGAAAACACGAATAATTCATTACACACTAAGCAGTTTCCCCGCTACAAAGTACTTAACATATATTGTCCAAGATTATTATTCCTGAACTGTAGACATACAGTACTTTGCAGAAAGCCATTTGGAAGAACGATGGTGCCTCCTCAGATTGCGACAAGTGAACAAAACTTTACTTCAATATCCTTTGGTGTTTGCATCATTTCGCGTTATTTCCGGTGCAACTGGCCATCATTTTGCCCCCTCCCCACGATTTAAGACTTAATGATTTCTGGCAGGCTCTTATCTAATCTTCAGGATGTACCAGAATTCTCCCAAAGCAATGTATAGGTTAAAGTTAAGCATCATAAAGGCAGCTTGAGTAGCCAAGAACAAGGCCCACCAGCGGCCGAGCGGTAAAGTAGCTGAACACTGGTAGTTCGGTCCGAGGTTCAAATCCCGCGAACGGGCTGGCTGCATGGGCGTTTTCGTGGTTTTCCCCATGTGTAACGTGTATACGAGTCAGTTTCCCCTTAGAAAGTCCTCCACGAAGGCATCCCTCCTCTCTTAGGCAGATAGCCCTCGTGTGCTTTGCCATAATTAAATACACCAACACCAGTACCCAAGAAGAGCGCTTCCTTGCTGCTTCCAAAACACTGATAAAATCATACTAAATAAACTCGAAACCTAAAATAACACTAAAAGCATGAATGATATCGTAAATACGAGCAAAGGCCAAATAAATATTAAGAGTTTACGGTGTAATTAGCTTTTCCAAATTAGAAAGACGGTGAGCAAGCTGCAAGTGGCATCAGCAATAACAGTGCGTTAATCTAAGCAGTCAATATACTAAGTAGTGAGAGATGTTGGATCTCTCAAGGATGCAGGGAAACAGCGATTTATCATTTATATCAGCGATTCTCAACCGGTGGTACGCATACTATTGATGATGCGCAAGAGAAAAATTCTTGGTACGCAAAGAAACAAAGTATCTTCAACTATTAAATTCAAAAATTAAATACCCCAATTTTCAGTTTAAATTTTTTTCTTTAACACTCGTAACTTTATGCGATTTGAGCTCTGTTCAAAATCATAAACTGATAGACTTTAGGAAAATAATCCGTTGTTTTCTCACAAATATTGTTTAAGTCATAGACATAACAAAATTTGACATAAATGATGATTTTAAAAGGAGTAATAGAAATGTATATTTTATTTAATAGGAAGTAAAAAAAAGTTCCTGTAGAATGATAACAGTATCTCATTAATTCTTTTAGAGTTCATCGATTTATTAGCATATCTACGCTTTATCTCGCCACCCTTTCCGAACTCATATTGCTCTATTTTCAATTATTTCAATTATTTTCAATCTATTATCATTTCTTACGTTAAGTTGCTGTCTCTAACAGCAGAAACTTTGCCTTCTTGCTCCTTTGTGTTCCTTATTTTCTACGCGTTTTAAGAATATCGTCGTATGTTTTTGAAGAACTCGTAATACATTGTGCATTTAAATATTTGGGAAAAAATAAAACAAACATAGATTTTCAAAACAGAAAAATGTCTAGGATTGACTGAGTGAGTGATGATTCCGAGGTGATGGATCCAGGACAATCTACTATCATTAAGAATATTGAAAAGAAAAGAAAAGTTGTTTATAGAAAATATAATAAAAGTTAGCAATCCTTTGCGTTTACTTGGAATGGAGATAAAATGAATCCTCAAACTTAATGTATTGTTTGATCTAAATTATTATCCAAAGTATGAAACCATCGTTTCTTGAAAGACATCTTGAATCTGAGCATGCCAATTTAAAAGATAAATCTGAAGAATATTTTAAGAGGAAATTATTGGCAAGTAATGAAATGTTTTGTTACTTTAAGTGAAAAGGCTTTGGAAGCTAGTTATCTACGTAGTAAGCATAAGAATTGCCAAGACTGAGCAGGCTTACACTATTGAAGGAAACCTTATATTACAAGCAGCTAAATTATCAGTTTAGCATTATTCAACAAAAAAGGCAGCTAATGAACTTAACAATTTTCCATTATCAAATGATACGGTAAATCTTCGAATTCCATAAAAGATACACTTATTCAAAAAATAAAACATGGTGAGTATTTCACATTGCTAATGGATGAAAATACTGATATAACAAAATTTGTTCACTTATTAACTTACAAAAGTTTCGAAGAAGATAATCGGATTGCCGAAGAATATTTATTTTGTGAATCTCTTCATGATAGAGCAACTGCAAATGAAATTTTCAAAGTAATTAACAATTTTATGTCATTAAAGTCGCACCTGAAACTAAATTTACTCACTGCTCCACTAATCGTGAAGCATTATTAGCCAAAACAGTGCCCTGAAACCTGAAAATCTTTAGGAACCAAACGGTTAAAATTGTTAATTTTATTAAAAGCAGAGTTTTAAATTCAAGAATATTTGCGATTTTATGCCAAGAGATGGGCATTGAACATGAAACGCTTTTGTTACATTTCGAAGTAAGGTGGATTCGGAGGCGAAGTTTTAAATTGCCTTTTCCAACTTCAATCAGAAATTCAAATTTTACTCTGTGATTCGAATTTCGAATTCCAAAATTGTTCATTTAGTGAATTATGGCTGACGTGTTTAGTATATTTTGCTGATATTTTTGGAAAGTTATGGAAAGTTAAATGAATTAAATTTAGGATTACAAGGACAAAGTGTTAATTTGTTTACCGTTAGAGATAAAATAAATGCAATAAACTCAAGCTAATAATTAAAGAATTCAATAATAATATATTGAACGTTTTACCCATTTTAGAAAGTTTTCTAAACAAAAGTAATTTGAAAATAAAACAATTAGCAGCCAAAATTAAAAATCTTCGTTTTTTATTGATAAATAATTGTGTATTTTCAACATGTATCTTCCCGGGAATTATGAAAACGAAAATTGGATTAGAAATCCATTTTATTCAAATATACCTGAAATTTTATCTTGCGAAGAAAAATAACAAATGATAGAAATTTCTTGTGATTGAACTCTAACTGAAGATTTCAAAAATAACGCACTTGTAAACTTTGGCTGTACTGAAAAATATAATTTAAAGGGACTTCAAATAAAGTTATTAAATTTTTATTGCCTTTTCGTACAATCTATTTGTGTGAATAAAGATTTTCTTCCAGATTATATTTCGAAAATAAATGCAGAACAAAATTAAAGTGGATCCTAATTTACAGTTAAAACTAAGTGAAATAAGACCAGACATAAAGAAACTGATCTCTTCAAAACAGGCCCAAATTTCACACTAAATTTTAGAATTAAAATATTATAACATTTTGATAAA